TTTTTTTTTTTTTTTTTTTTTTTTTTTTTTTTTTGAACGGTAATAAAACTTCATGTCTTTAAGTTCACTGCCATTGTCGAATTATTCGACTTACAACTTCGAACTTTCCAGCGACTTTGTGCTGCCTTCGGAGACGGAGATTTATGAATGGGGTCAGGGGCGATATTTGTGCTTGTCACCGTGGCAGTACGGGAACTTGGACATTAGTATTGTGACTTCAGAAGGAGAAGATAACGTTGAAGAGACAGTGAAACACTTGTTTAAGCAAATAATCAGGGGTGTGGCATTTTGTCATGCGCTTGGCATTATAGTACGCGATTTGAAGCCACGGAAATTCGCTTTTGTGGACCAGAAAAAGTGATTTTTTGTTCTTCAGTGGGTTTTAACCGATGCTTACCACTGTTTTCGACTTCTTCTTTTCTTAGGAGGACTTTGAGATTTCATGACGTGCTAGGGCTCTACGTTTGTGAAGATGTTAATAATGATGTAATGGTGGACCATCACGGTGTTCCTGCATACGTTGCGCCAGAAGTATTAAGAAGAGTGCCAATAGAATATGCCGGGAAGCCTGCTGACATTTGGGCGCTTGGTGTGCTTCTCTATTACTTGCTTTTTTCTAGGTAGAGTGTTTACTTTTCGCATTTCATTTTTTAAATCCATTTTACATTAAACATATCCTGATTTTTATTTGCGGTTTTATTTTTAGGCATCCTTTTCACGATTTAACACTGTCTGGGGTTTTTATGCGCATTTGCAGAGTGAGCTTTTGTATACCTGCAGAAATCTATATTTCGCAAGCAGGTTAGTTCCGTCCGCCGCCTGACGCTTGATATGAGTATTTGATTAATTTCAAGGATTATTAAGTAGCAAGTTTTCAGTGCGAATTTTAATCCATGGCATTTTCAAAAAGGAACCGTCCGAAAGACCTACTGCAGGGCAATTGCTGCGCTTACGGTGGTTTTCTGGTGGTTTAGGTCAGTCCCCCAACTGTTGCACTGCCTGGCGTCCTTGTGTAAATTTTTTTACGGGTAAGATCTTCCTTTTTTCTGATTTTCTAGGATTTTCGCAGTTTTCCGTTTTGGGGTCGTTACATAAGTAAATAGCCTTAATTAAGTAGTTCCCTTACAGGTGTGGCAAGAAATCGGCATGGAATACCATTACCTTACAATGTAAACCGCCCACTTCTCCCGCACTGTCTTAGACGGCACAGAAATGTTAGTTCTAATTTAGTTACGGGAACTAAAGATTGACCTCGAGACTGTTAATAATCGTAACACAAGGCATGCTATTCTTTCGGTTTTTTCAGCATCACCTTGACGAGGAAGACCAGGTGGTACCGAGTTGCCCTGTTAGTCGCAGTCGCGTGTTAGATACCTTTGAACTCTTCAGGTATATTGATGAGCGTGAGTCCAGCTTCGATCGTATAGTACACCATGTCGTGCGAAGGCCTGCGGTTTTGGAGCTTTAAGGTGTAGTGAGAAGAATTTGTTTTTGATTTATTAATCTTTTATTTGAATTGGTTTTTGTGGTCGATAACATATTTAATTTAAAGTTGAAAGTCTTGCAGCATGGGATTTAGACATATGCAAAATTATTTAAATGTCATACCGTAACTGCTCCTTGCCATGTTATGTACATGTATAGATGCAGTAGATATGGTACTAGCATTAATGGCATTGTAGAGCTCTTAAGTTTGCCCTTCATTATATAAAGGTGTTTGCATATCATTTGATTGGATTTTTAGTGTTTAATAGATTTTTGTGCAATTGGATTAGGTTAAGCTCAGAAATCTTTCATAGCAACTCGTTCTTTATGATTTCTGTCACGTTTGTAGTAGTAGCTGAGATTGTTTTTCTTGTTTGATATTCATTTTTTGTCTGAAGTTGACTGAAAGAAGTGTTTTAATTATCTTATGAGGTAACATTTTAGGCACCGAATTGAATGGGTTAATTTTTAAATTGTGTAACCGTAGATTTTGCTGAACAATGGTTCTGTCGTCACGCTCTTTTTAAGACTGTATTATGATTGTGCAAGTGGTGTTCAAAGAGGATTATTTTAGTACCCATTACGTGTTAAGAAGAGCGTATTTGTTGTCACCATATGAGCGGGAAATGATTTTGGGTGGTTTCGAACGATTTTGTCAAGAATCGTAGGTGAGGTCATGATGCTTTTAGATGGCTGACTTGCGTAGACGGAAGGATACGTCACTGGGAGAAGAGCACTAGCCGAAGATTCTTGAGATACATTGAAACTTTAAGGTTGTATTTAGGTACTGTTAGTATGGAGTAATATTGAGCAGTTTTGGAAGACTCAAATTTATGTTGCTGATGTTTCCAGTGATGTCGGGTGAAAGAGAGGATCCTCTTTGAACAAATTTTCATGTGTATTTTCGTAGTTTCTTGTGCATAAAGTTCTGTTTTTATATGGTTTTGTCAGTTTCATGTGGTGGGTGACGCGGAACAGTTTCAGAATTGAACTATCATGTGGGAAGTCATTGTATAGAGAGGAAGAATATTTTTTATCAGTTCAACCTCACTAACTCATGAGCAGCGATCAGGGGAACTAACGAGTTTTGCCATTTGCTGCTGCTGATACAGCAACTGTTACTTCGTTTCCTTTCAGGATGACTATTGCACATCACACATTTTCATCATCTGTTTAACACATGGGAATTTTTGGGATACAAGCAGTAATTCTGTGGAAGTGTGTGCCATCATTATAGCAAAACTACCTGAGTATATGCAGTATAACATAAAGGAATGTCTTGAACCCGCAACATTCCACTAAGGGCATCCAGAACCCTAAACGGATGGCCTTAGCATGGCAGAGTTGAAGAGAAGTGAGACGACTCAACTGGCTTTGTTTAATTCCATTTTCGTCAGTACCACTCTCGATGAATTATATATGAACGCGTCAATGAGACTTGCAACAGTGAAAAGTCCACCGATTATTGCACATAGGGACACCAAAAATGATGACCAAGACCTAGAATTAATGTACCGTAAAAAGGAGGTTAAGGGCTTTTAAAGGAATGCCATAGTCATTCCGTGTTGCATACTCCGAACGAGACTAATTACTGCTGTTTGAAGAGGTTCAGGGGATGTCATTGAAGAATTACTACGGAAAGGTGCTGCAAATCTAACAGTAGCAGCCAAAAACGGCCAAAACTTTTCTACCACTGGAACTTCTTCAGACCTAGGTTACAAGGAGAAAGTGATTATATTACTTTTTTTTGCTACTGTCATTTCCTGCATAGGACGCTAGGAAATCCAACAAAAACTACTCCAGAAAAGTATTTGCAGCTTGGTCGTTGTTTTCTAAAAAATAAGAAAAAAAAGGATCGCTGTAGTCGTTGCTGTGTTAAAATGGAAGACTGTGGATTGTACAATGGACTTACTGTTTTCTTTCTTCGTACTTGATCATCAAGGGAGAAAATTCGTAGTGAACGAAGAAGCCTGGAAGACCAGAAGAACCAGCAGTTACATCCTTCTGATTTGTGGTAACTGAAAACTGGTGACTGAATATGTTGTTGGCGGGATCCAAATATGTATATAAAGTAGGGACAACTTTGAGGTAGTACTGATACATTATACCACCTGCAAGGTTTGCTAGTAAAAACATTGAAGAGTAATGGTGCATAAATTACTGATAGCTAGTAACTGGCAATAACAGAGACAATTGATTAACCAAAACAAAAATTTTTGCAGCTAGAAAAAAGCTTTATACGAAAAATTTTAAACGCAGTTATTGTCGAGGAAAATACGCCGCCACGTGTCCGAACAAACAGGTAAAGTAAATTCTCGAATCCGAAAACACAGACCTTTTTTAACATCAACTTCTTTCCCATCCAGGGGATATGTTTTTCCAGGAAACGGTGTTCCAAATGATAAGTGATTGATAGTGTGAGAAATATCAAATCCCTTTGGATCCAAGGAATGCAAGTCATGCGCTTAAACTGCTACATTTTAAAAATGAAGGGACTGACTCAATGCAGACTTTTGAAAGTAAAAAAGAATAAATTAAGTCCTGTAACTGTAAAAAAGTTGTTTTATCCCATTCTGTGCCTTAGTAGGTGGTCACAACGGAAATGCACAAAATGCAGAACTATTTACCGCTTAACGAAAGTAAGACAAGTTTTCTTGGTATATATATTGGCGACCTCTAAAAGAAATTAATAACTGTAACGTTACCATGAGACCGATGAGTTCTGAAAGGGTCGCCAGGTGCTATATGAAAATTGCCAGCAACCTGAAACATTTTTCTTCCAAGAACTAAGTGCCATCGCAGTGCAGTTACAGAATGTAAGAAATGCTGAATATTAGACAAACTTTGCTTTTATTCTTCCTTGTTTCTTCACTTCTGATTATTTAAACAATTCACGGTTATCATAGTTACGAGCATTGTACCTTTGCTACTTGGACTTTGCCATAAACTCTACATCCTTCATTTTTATGCTCATTTAATTTCTTAACCCAGGGGTCCGACTGACATTGTTCAACATTTTCCACATTTAATGTCCATCCCAATTGGCTATATGCTCGCTTCACTTCATCACAGGTATTACAACATCTAAATTACTGTACGAATGCCAAGGATGAGCTCCTTTATAAAAAAATGACTGATTTTTTTCTAACAGATTTTCAAAGCAAGAAGAAAAGATATTTATGATTTGCAAAGTAACAAAAGCAGTTTACCCGTCTCTTGCACCATAGCAACTACCACAAAGTACTGTGCTTGTAGCTATTTGGTTTAGAGATGCATTGACATTGACTTCTGAAAGTACCTAAGCTACTTAAACTGCCTCTTGGTTAAAATTTAAATATTAAATTGTACAAAATATAAACCTAATTTTATTGCAAAATCTCCACTAATATTTCTTCCATGCTCGTCAATCCGTAATTTATAAACATCGTCTTGAATGTCATCTTGATCGTCACCACTTACATCCATAACGTCAACAGTGACAACTTGAAAAAAGTTCTAGTGTTAAACATTTTATTGAGAA